TTCTTCTTCTTCTTTTTCTTCTTCTTTTTCTTCTTCTTCTTCATATTGTCTGTTTGTTTTTGCATATTAAGTAACTTTATTATCAGTTTCTGTCAAATGCCACAGATGGAAGTGCCAAACATTATAGACAATATAGATGCACTTACTAGAGACTAAATCCCTAACTCCATGTCATAAAATCTATTCAACAATCTTAGTTGTCGTGACTGGTCATACCCTCTAGGTGCTTCCTCTATTTGTGGTGTTACGATTCATGTCTGCAGATTATTTCTTTTACCACCAACTGCAATTTTTTGTCCTCTACAAGAATATCCTCTTAAATTTGCCCTAGATTAGTGCATGCTAACTGTAAATATTAACCCTGTGCAGTTTATTTTGTACCATACTAAAGCTACCAAATCAATTTTGGAGAGCCCGTCACCCACAAGGTAAATGATATAACCCTATCATGACAAAGGCTGAATTTTTGGTGATATAATATTATACAACAATCTAGACTTTGTGGCTAGGCCTAAACTGTGACAGCTGGCCCACCCCTTGCATCATGACACATATATATGTTATAGGCCACTACATCATGACAGCTGTAGCCATGCCCGTCACTGAAGGGATATTGGAAAATAAATCGGTGAATTCTGAAATACTTTTCATCTGTCTGTTGCAGTTCAAATAGTAAATAGATTGATTTTTTTATACTGATAGTCTCAATCAATGGCAATGAAGCTCTAACAAAGGATTGATTGATTGTTTTACTGTAAATCATGATGGAAATATGCCTCCTTGGTAAATGTTTGTAAAGAAATTTTTGTGACATCTGGTATTCTTATTGTGACAGGTCACTGTGGATGGATTTCAGATTTTTTAAAGAATCTGGCTGGGAAAACATAAGTGAAATGAAATTGTCACTGATTCACTTTTTGAAATGTAAGAATACATAAATTATTTTATCAGTTTGCTGTCTTCATTTCCAGTTTGCAGAAATGTTAGCATAGTGTATTTGAGTTCATTTATCTGTTGTTTACATATGATGCATTTCTGAAACTATGATAGTGCCAATTCATCCTGAGAATAAAATAAAAAGATTTAGTTGTAATCACCATTTATCATGTCAATTAAATATATGGTTTGTATATATGATTGTTAAGACAACTAGCGAACCTGTCCCAGGTTATAACCTGCCATGAGTTGATTGTGGAGGATTGCTGGTCACAAAGGTAGCATGATCACATGTATCACTTGAGATAAAGAGATAGAGAAAGGAAAAGGGAGAGATGGAGAAAGGAAGAGGGAGAGGGAGAGGTAGAGAGGGAGAGGAGAGGGAGAGGAGAAAAGGAAGAGAGAAGGAGAGGAGAGAAGAGAGGAGAGGAGAGGTGAGAAAGGAAGAGCAGAGATGAGGTAGAGAAGGGAGAGTGGAG